CCATCTGTTTTGAATTACGCCTGGAAGGGAAATTGGGGTTTCTAAGAGGAACTCTATATTGTAGCGACAGCTCCAAGAGATAGTTGGTTCCTTATAACTCCGGAAACTGATGCTATGAAACGCTCTGCATTTTTCTGTCGCCTAATTAGCTACCATGGTGGTTCAGGCCTCGGGACGGGAGGTTTGCACTTGCTGTCTGTCTGCATCTGCCGGTGGCATTGAGTTTGCTAAAAGCTTTTCCCGGAGACCAGGAAGTTCAGCTCCTTGTGGTTGGAGCTAGTTTTGCTTGACACAGAAACTCAGTCTCTTGTCAGTGGCTCTGCATAAGGCAGCACTTAGGAGAAGGAAAGATTAGTCACCACGATAGCCAATAGGTCACGGGCCTCGTAGTGTTTGGTATAAAGATTTCCATTTGCGACTGGCTTCCCCTTAGCTCATTATGACCAGAGAAGATGCATATGCTTCTGGCACATGCTGGAACGCCAGAGGAGACCCCACGTCCTGGCTCCCATGGAGTTTGAAACCGAAGATGGTGCAGCGATAGGCATGCATCCACATGGGTGACACACAGTAACACACAGCGTTGTGTTAACTGAGCACCTGAATGGGCGGTGAAGGCCCAGAAACAGGCCCAGATTGAATATAGTTTGCAGGGACAAAGATGGGACTTGGGGAGGATTCCACAGAAAGTTGCGGGGAGAGATGTTAAAGGGTGGGGGGGAAATTTTTTCGATGCTCAACCACTGAGTCACGCTGGCCGGGCCAGCTCTTCTTTAATCAATCTGGGAAGGTTTCCAAATTGAGTGGAATTCCCCAAATGGGAAAAGAGATGGAGGGTAATAAGGGACAGCTCACCTGTAGTCTGCGTTGAAGGTAAAGTTGGGGCCAGTTTACAAAAGGGCTCTGAACAGGAGCTGGGCTTCAGTGAGGGGACAAGAAAGGGAGAGGATGGTGGCTTTGGGGCGAAGGTCATTAGAGGTCACATTTTGGATTTGGCCTGTACCTGGAGGAAAGACATGTGGAGCTTGTAAACATTGGGATGGCCATGGTGAGGGGAGGAGATGGGGTGGTGCCCCCCGAGGGCTGCGAAGAGGATCCCCGATGTTTCAGGCCACTGTCCAGGGGGGCTGCCCGCCAGCCAGCTATTACCTTCCAGCAGCTTTATTCTACTTACCAGTACTCTCCCTGGCCGTTACAATGATCTGAATATTTTTATTATACTCTTCTCATGTTTTATGAGGATAAATAGAAAAATAAATCTTGAAATTGATCACCACAGGGCTCAATCTAATTGAGATAAAGGTGGAAATCAATGGGCATGCTGAAATGGCAAATCTTTAGCCTCATTGGACTTCGGTCATTGCCCATTTTCGACTGTGAGAGAAAGAACATGTGGGTACAAAATGCCGAGAATACATCACCCGGAGATGAGCTGCGAATACGAGGTTAATTAGGGATTTTATAGTCCTCTAAAGCTTTATGGGCACAGAACGCCTCCTCCTATCCGGTAAGCGTCTCCTTCCATATGAGCACTTGTTTTCAGGAACCCATTACGTATGAAATTGGGTGACTTCCTACGGACTAGGCAAGGAATCCAGGAGCCAGCTTTAGGGCATTCGGAGCGGGGGTGGGGGTAGGGGTGGGGTGGGAGGCAGGGCTAGACACTGGAAACGAGGTGTTTACATAAATGGGGACGTTGGGCAC